TCTTTGCTCCCGACTCACTCCTTGATATTTTGAGTTGAAAGCCCAATTCCAATTTTGTATCCCGAACTCATCTCCATTCAAAGCAGGTATTCATTCAGAGAAATTCACTCAACTTCAATGTAGGCACAGAAGAGCTACGACTTGAGGTCCTAGGTTCACCAAGGTTCATCTGTTACTGTGTGCCACCCAGTCAGTTCTGACTCAGAGTCCCGAGAGCAGCTGGTAGGTGTGAAATGTCGGCCTTGCAGTTAGTTGCCAGTCCACTGTTTAGCCTACAGCACCACACCAGGGCTCCAGGTCTGTTTAGTATCAGGAGGTCTGAGTAGCAACTGGGTTTAGGCGAACTCTACACGGTGCAACAGCAGCAGTCATATGACCCATGGCTAACAGCATGCCTTTTCTCTGTGCAGGAAATGATTTCATTTGTTTCTCCCAACACTATAAGGTTGTTACTCGTCCCTCTCCCACCCAACTGCACCCCACCTCACCCACCTGCACCTCCCATCCCATTATGCAAAACGGAGGAAGCAAAGCTTAGAGTAACCAAGCCACCTGCCAAGGATTGGAGACGTACTAAGTAAGTGGGATTCTGAACAGATCTGAGACCACGGCAGAGTCTTCAACCCTTTGTACCACTACCTCTCTGGGTACATTTCTGCCGCCAAGCACACAGAGGGACAATTCACCAGAGGCCCGTTTCTCTCTAAGTGAATGGTGTGGCAAACAAAAAATCACCAAACACTTTACACCTGATCCTCTAGGTAGTCTGCTGAAGGCAATGAAACCTCTGGCTGGCTGAAAGGGCCCCATCTTCACCTTGCTTAAGATTTCACTGCCATTGCAGGCGGAAAATGAACTTTACAAGAAAGTATTAAAGTTTCCACTCATTCATTTTCCAGGCTTTACTAAAGAACAGTAATAAAAATCTACTTTCAAACACAGTGCTATTTGATTGTTAATTTACCCCATTAGTCTAATTACTGAAACAAACACTTTAAAAGCAAAGTCTTTTTATTGTTTTCAACATATGCCACAGGATTTATATTTTTTTATATAAAGTTTTAAAATGTGCAATTTTTTCTGTTCTCTTTGGAATTAACACTTTAATACATTGTACATATGAAACAGGGGAGTGAGGTTAATTTCAATCAATTCTACCGACTGTATTATTTTTAAAAGCTCATAGTCAGTTCCGACTCATAGCGACCCTGTGTAGGGTTTCTGAGGCGTGGCTGGTGAGTTTGAATAGGAAACTTTGTAGTCCAGTTCATTAACCCAGGGCGCAACACCAGGATCCACCCTTCTGGAGTCACGCAAATTACAGTTCATTGTCAATAGGTCAATTTCATTCACTGAGTCTCACAATTACTAATGATGTCAGGAGAGACAGATTGTTATTACAGGTATCCCTCGACTTTTCTGAAAGTTCAATTCATGTCACTTTATTTTTATAAAGGACGCATGTTAGTATCTGTTTTCGCTAACCAAAAGAAAGAAGATTTTCACTTTTATGAAAAATGAGGACAGTAAAATGAGCACTTTAGCTTTGTTTTGCAGTGAGCTGCTACAAAGGCAGTTCACACCAGGTGCAGCATGTGGTAGTGGCTTGGTCAGCCTCCTTCCTGGGGTCTACACTTAGCATCAAGCCTGCGTAACTCTGAACTGTGCCTGTGAACACGGTTAGGAACATCTTAGGGTTTATGTGTTACTCGGTAAGATTTATAAGAATATTTTTGGGCCTGGACACTTAAAAAAAAAAAAAAATTTCCCATATAAATTAAAGCTAATTGCATTTCCGCTGCCTTCCACCCTGTCAGCTTATGAAAGGGTTCATAAGCTTGCTCTGCTTTCAGACAGTGGGGAAAAGCCTACATCTTTCAATCTTTTTTTTTTTTTAAATCATGGTTGTACATAGTAATGTCTGTTAGTCCATGCCCAGCCACATGGACACGGACATGTCCTTAGTCTTTATCTATTCATCAATATCAACTAGGAACAAAGTATGAAGAGCTTCTAGGAGTCATTGTTGGGATGTAAATCGCTGCATTTTTCAGAACCACAATGATTGACTTATTCAACTCAGTAAGCACTGTCCTCCCTTCTATTCTAATGAGGCTGCTGGGCTAGGGTCTTAGATTTACAGCACAGATAATGAGAGGTACGGCTTTATTTTTTTAAGGTACTTCATTCCAAAGTTTCCTTCTGTTTGGTCACTGTTACATTAAAATGTAAAAACTGGGAAAAACTCAACTATAAAACAAAATCTGTTTCCTTGGAAACAGTTTTTATAACTTTGCACCCCAAGATGACTTTATGTCTTTATAAAACCGCTTACCAAGACAGAAGCTATTAGCCACAAACAAAAATGTTCCCAGTGCTGACACTGTTACATTAAAAAAGAGCAAAACACCAATTGAAACCACAAGTCCTGATATTCTGAGGCTCTGGAAATCCAGTCCAAAGGAAGCACCCTCCAACAACAATGACAACAAAAGTCAAGATGGTCTTGGGCAGTGGTGAAAAAGCAGACTCGAAGAGAAGCGGCGAGGTGATGTATCATGAAGTGAAGAGGCCATCAGCCACTGTCGGCACAAAAACCTCGGAGGCAGCAGAGCTCCAGGGTACATGCTACCTGGGTCCTCTCCTCTTGCTCCCTTACTTGGACTCATAAACCCCTTTAAGACATCATCCACCTCCTGCAGAACTAACTGGGACTTCAGGAGATGAGTGGGGTGTAAATTCAGAGATTCTGGCTTCAAGCAAATATCCCTATTAACAGAAAATAGGTGAGGGGAAGAAAAACAAAGAGATAAAGGAAGAAATTATTTATAAACACATGAGCTTGGGGGACATCGGGAGAGGGAAAAGGAATGACAACTGAAGTCAGGAATTATTGCTGGGATCAAGGGCTTGACGAAAAAAAGATGAAAAAGTGAAGTTTCCCAAGAGTTCACTAATTAATGTTTTTATGTGCTGCCATCAAGCTGATTCCGACTCACAGCAACCCTATGTTGTTGTTGTCAAGTGCCATCGAGTCAGTTCCAAGTCCATAGTGACCCTGTGCAGGGGTTCTGAGGAGCTACTGGTGAGTTTAAACCGCTGACCTTTCAGTCCAGTGTTTATCCTACAGCACCACACTAGGAATCCCTACATGACAGGGTAAACTGTCCCATAGGCTTTCCTAGGCTGTAATCTTTATGTGAAGTCCTGGTGTGGTGCTGTAGGACAGCACTGGACTGCTTGCTAACCATAAGCTAACCACAAGGTTGGCAGTTCAAACCCACCAGTTGTTCCTTGGAAACCCTACACAGAACTGACTTGATGGCACTTAACAACAACAATCTTTACAGGGAAGTGTGGTGGTCTGTAGGATAGACACAGGGCTTCGAACCACAAGGTCGATGGCTCGAGCTCATAAGCTGCTCCAAAGGAAAAAGGTGAGGCTTTCTACTCCTGCAAAGTTTTAAACCCTATACAGGGTTGTTACGACTAGGAACAGACTACACTATACAGAGTGGCTAGGACTTGGAACCAACTACAAGGAACTTAACAATAATCTTTACAGGCAGAGTGTCAGTTCTCTGGTTGGCTAGTGAGTTCAAATCTTTTAGTTAACAGCAGAGGGCTTAAGCGTTTTGTCAACAGGGTTCCTTTCACAGATCAATTTAGCACCTCCTTTTCAACATGTTACACCCCAGGGCTAAGGTGGGATCAAGTCTAGCTGTCAGTTGGTGGTCAATTCCCACAACAAAAGGAAGCCAGAAAAATAACAATATTCTCTTCAGCTACCTTAACAAATTAAACCTGTATCTAGAGAAAAATAAAACAATATAATAAAAAAAAAAATCACAAAATACCATACATATGTTGCTGTTGTTGAGTGCTCAAGAGCTGGTTCCAATTCATAGTGACCCTGCATAGGGTTCTGAGAAGTAGCTCTGGAGTTTGAACCGCCTAGAATGCTTATCCTACAGTGCCACACCAGGACTCCATTATATATATAGGCATCTGGCTAGTCACTTAAACCTCTTCTGAGCCCCTTCTAAGTAAATACCAGGGAAATGAGAATCCCCACCTTCACACTGTTAACAATCCAGCGTGGAAAGTGAGATGTGCTAAAAACAATTGAGCAAAACCTTCCAGGTGGGAGCTGTGGAATTTTAAACGTGAGAAAAAATTACCCTGTATGAAATTCTGTATAAAATTGGTTTATAGACACCCTAAGTAAGAAATGGAAATGAGGTACGAAATATGTACTAATCATAATAGGAGCTAACACACACAGAAAGGGCTTTACAAATGTTAAACCATTTAATCTTCGCAACAACCCTCTGAAAAGTACAATTATTCTCCTAATTTTACCAAAAATAAATTTGCGAAGGAGTACTGGTGTGGGGCTGTAGGATAAGCACTGGACTACTAACCACAAATTCGACAGTTCAAATCCACCAGCTGCTCCTCGAAAACCCTATACAAGGTCGCTATGAATCAGAACTGATTCGACTGTACTTAACAACAACAAAGGTTACGTAATGTGCCTAATTCACGCGCCTAAATGGCAGCGGGATTAGAAATCAGGCACCCTGAATCTTAACTCTGTTCTGCTGCAGCAATTATTAATAAGACAACAACGCTACTATACACTGCAGACTCATGAGCTAGTTGCTTTCATTCATTCTCTTTTGAATACTCACATTAAAAAAAAAAAAAAAAAAGGATACTCAGAGAAACGGTCCCAAGATTAGACAAATTAAAAGACGGTGGGGGCGAGGATTTCAGCCTAGGTAGCTCAGATTTTGAAAGCTCTTTCCGATGCTCTCCACAATCCACCTTGGACTCTTCCTTTGCTCTCAACCAGGTCAACCCATATCCCTCCTAAGAGCTCACGTCACTTAGCCTCGCGCCTGACCCTCAGAGATACTCTCATCCAGACCGCGTTCTACCACCTGCGCCCACCCCGCTCTCGCGCCACCCTGCCCGGACGAGACAAGCGTTCTCACCGGGCGGCAGTCGGGGAACCCTCGCAATCTTGCCGGTGATCTCCGCAGTAAGCACTGCAAAGTCCTGCTCATAGCCTTCGAAATCAGACGACATGGCGGCTCCGGAGTGAGGGGCCCGGCCGAAGCCGAGACCACGGCAAGAACCACACGGGGCTGGGGGAATGGAGGCGAAGAGACGCCGGGAATGCTCTCAAGAGTAGCAGATAACCGGGGACAGCTCCAGCCCAGCCGCTTCCTGGTTGTGCGTCTCAATCTCGGTCTCCCGGAAACTCACTCGGGTGAGCTTTTTTTTCCGTTTAGGCTACAGGATTAAGAAATTAGCGAAGGAAAACGTGCTTTGATTTGGTTTTTCTTTAAGCCTACGATGATATGCGTGTTCTCAGGGATCACGGAAAGCATGTTCTCCTCTTCTGGGACGCAGTTCCAGCCCCTAAACTAGAGGTCACAGGAGCTTGCTTCCCGAGGGAAGTTTGGAAAAGCGAACCTCCCGGAAGTGGCGAGAACCACGGCTGCGCGCGGATCCTGAGCGGGACAGTCCCCTCGAGGGCGCGGGCGGAGGGGTACCCAACCTGTAGCCAGACCCGCACCTCTGCCTCTAGCAACCGGAATCAGCTTTCTGCTGCCCGATATTGAGGGAGCTACGACGGAATTGTCCGAAACGGAAAAAATCTGTTCCGGGTGAGCCCAGGCCACCCCGGAAATGCGATGGCTGAAGAGCGGGCATCAGGGACGAGACTAAGGTGGGAGTCAAAGCAGGGGATGTAACCACGATTTGGGTGGTCTTCGTCCCACCCGAGTGAGGTCAAGAATCTCTAAAATGTAGAGTAACCTCACCAGGCTATTTCTCTTCGGAGTGAGGCTTTCAAACTCTCGGCCTCATGACACGGGCGGGAAATTGAGGTGCAAGAGCCAGACGTCTGTTGTGTGGCAATCCCTCCTGCCCCGTCTCCACCCCAGCTCTTCTCCGACTCGCTTCTGTCTCCCCTGCGCTCCTGGTCGCTCGCCTTCCCCTCCCTCTCTCTGGAGCCACTTCGGGTTCTTGTCATGCTCCTGTCCTCGCTCGGTCATCCGTGGGTTCACTCGCCTCTCGTCGTCCCCTACCCCATTGTCTGCTTTCCCTTGGCCCCATTGACCTGATGTCGCTCTAGTCCGTATATCCGGGGGTTAAGAGCAGGAAAACGGCATGGATCTCGGATTGCTGTCTGCCTTTTACACTAGACTTCATTCTACACGCTAGAGGCAGCTGAGAGCACTGGGAACACTTGGATTCTGTTCTGAGTTTAGCTGCTTTCTTACTTGTGGCTTTGGTCTGATCACTTAGTTCTCTGAGCCAGTTTCTGTTCTTCATCCTTCCCAGTCTTTGAACCATTGATTCTCCGCTGGAAAAGACAGTCACAGACCCCTGACAAGTTGGGAATAAAAGAATAAAAACAACTATTTTGCTATCGTGTTTCCTACATACATTAGTTTACAATTCAGACTTGAGTCCTGGGTAACAGGAAACTTGATCCTTTTGACACATGCCAAGGTACTCACACCAATATAGTGCACTATGAGATAATTTTTGCATAGGTAATTGCAAGGAGTAACAATCATTTTATTTTCCTCAGGTTGAGTTTCAAACCGAGTCACTGGTTTCTCCTAGTTAAGATAAAGAGCTTTGCGTGGTTAACGATGAAGATGGCATAGCCTGCGTTTACATTCCGTAACTTGAAGGTATGACAGTTACAGAAGCCACGAGGACTCGTGGCACCTGGAAATGTGTGCCCACAAAAAGGAAATCTCTCCTTCTTTAAAAGTAGGAAGGAATCTTTTCACACCAAAATGGGTATGTTCTGCTCAGTTATCAAGTTTGAAAATCTCCAAGAATTAAAGAGACTGTGTCACTGGGGGCCCCTCATAGCCCTTGGTGTTATAGCGATATGTTCTACAGTGGCCATGATCGACTCTGTGTTGTGGTATTGGCCCTTACATACAACTGGAGGAAGCGTGAATTTCATCATGTTGATAAATTGGACAATCATGATTCTTTATAATTACTTCAATGCCATGTTTGTAGGACCTGGCTTTGTCCCTCTAGGATGGAAACCGGTAAGAAAAATACTCTTTTTAAGATCATTCTAACGATAATCATATACATAGTTACCTTAATCTGCTAACCAGTACTGTCAAATAGACTACTAAAAAGATTACAGTGACTCTACTGAGTGACTACTTAGTTATCCAACATTTTGCATTTTTCAGTAGTAAAAAATCTACCATGCAACTATTTTGTACATTAATGACATGCATCTGGCTGTAATTGATGTTGAGATGTGAGGTAACAGTTAACGCTGGCTGTGATGGCTAAGAGTACGTGTCAACTTGACTGGGCCAATATTCTCAATGGCTTGACAGGTATGTTAGTGAGACTTGGCAGTTAGGTAGTATTAGAGTTTGACAGTTACGTAATGACAGGTATGTAATTGGATCACATCCTTCATTTTGTGATCCAGTGTAATCATCCTCTGTTTTCACAGCAGGCCAATTTTGGCATAATCTCCTGGTCTTTGGAATTTAACCATGTATATTAGTAGATTCCTGGTGTGGCGCTGTAGGATAAGCACTAAACAGCAAGGTCGTTTTGAACCTCAAGGCCAGTGGTTCGAACTCACCAGTCCTTCCTCAGCTATGAGTCGGAACCGACTCGAAGGCACTTAAACAATAACATAAATGAAGAGTGGGTGTACTCTAGTGTTTGATCATTTGAGCTCAGAGACTTTATCTGATACCGCTTTGAAAGTATTAATCGAAACAAGCATTTCCCCAAGCAGTTTCATTGCATATATGTTCTGCTGTATTGTTTCAGTGGAGGAGTAGACCATGGTCGTACAAGCTTAGGAAACACTGCATATCATATGCTTCTCTTTACAGTGCGTTTTGACTCTAGAACTTCTTTCATGTAATATAGTAACTCCCTCAACTAAGTTACATACTTTAGAAACTGCTGGTATAAATCATTACAAAAATTTTAAATCATTACATTGAAATTAGAGCTTGGAGAATATACTGTGAATCAGTTTGTGGCATTTTAAAAATTGTTACAAAGTTTATGCTTATGGATTTCCATATTCTAGGTGAGGAACATTACTTGGTAGCAAATTAGAAATGCAGAGTTTCGGGCTCACCTCCAGACCCACTGAATCAGAATCTGTATTTTAACAATATCCTCAGGTGATTCTTAGATACATTAAAGTTTGAGAAACACTGTGTGCCTTGTACTCTTCCAAGTGGGTACAGAGACTGACAAAACAATTCCTATAGAAAAAGCTAATAATCTAGGAGAAAAACCAAGGCACTTACACATATAACTAAACTCTAATGTGATTCTTGTCTTTAAAGTTAGAAGGAACTGATCATTTTCAGCTGGGAACCTAGAGAAAGAGTAGGGCTTTCCACAGGAGACAAGGGGGAGAACATACTCAGAAACAGTAGACAGTCTAGATTATGTAATATTGTTGTTAAATGCTTTTACATCGTTTCCAACTCATAGCAACCCTGTATAGGGTTTCCAAGGAGCAGCTCGTGGGTTTGAACTGCCGACCTCATTGTTCACAGTCCAGTGCTGATCCACCGCACCATACCAGGAGTCCATATGTAGTATTAATACAGCTGAAATGAAAGCATGAAGGCTTCAAGTGTGTAAGAAATTACTAGACCAAAGACAGTTATTCTCGATTCTTGAGCAGAGCTCTGACATAATCAAAGTCCTATTTATAGAAATAGTATTGTGACAATAAATAGTTTCCATGAAAAAATCACAGTGAAAGAAACTAGTTCAAAAGTGATTTAAGCCACCCCAGGGAAGGGAACATGGTAACAGAAGGCAGCTCTCAGAAAAAGTGTCAGCTATTAAAGAGGGGGTACATCTGAAGAGCAAAAGTATCAATTCTAACACTTAAATCCTGCTCTCAAATACCTGCCAAGGTGTCACTAACTTGTTCTGAACAATTCCCATTCTACAAAGATTTGGGCTAAGTAGAAACAAGTACTCAGTAGCTTTGGAAAGTATGTCTGTAAAGTCTGACTTGCTATGATTACTTTGTAGCAGATGTCTGATATATGTTTTGTTTATATTTTGCTGCCAAGGAAAATTCTCAGGATAGCATGTATCTGCAGTATTGTAAAGTCTGCCAAGCGTACAAGGCGCCCCGCTCGCATCACTGCAGAAAGTGCAATAGGTACCCGTCTGCCTTTGCTTTCCTTTGGGAACTGATCAGCTGAATCACTGGTCTGTTTTGGTTCTTTGTGCTGCATCAATTTTAGTTTCATTCTCTGCAAGTAGCAAATCATTAAAGTTGTAATTTAAATATATGCATATATATAATATATATTATATATGGTCAAAATACTTATATTATCAATCTAAAAAATAGGTGATTTTCATCTTTTTGTAATTGTAAGTGAATTCTTTTTTTCAAAGGAAAAATATGGATTTACTTTGCCCCTTGCCCCCAAAACTAGGATTAAAAAATTACATCTTCAGGATTTTTTTTCCCCCATGTGAGGATTAATTGTGTTTGTTAGCTGTCATCTTGACTAACTTGAGGATTTTTGTCTTAATATCAAGAAACTTAATGGGAACAATCACTGTTTAGAAAAGCATGTGAAATAAGCTAGATCCTGTATTAATGAACACCAATATCCACTAATTAATAACGACTTTTGTAAGAATTTTCAGATTTAAGGGAACCATGTACAGGGTCGCTATGAGTCGGAACCGACTCCACGGCACATAACCACCACCACCATAAGAGGCAAATAAAGTCTGAATTGAGGCCAGGAAAGTGTTTTCTAGCAACAATAAGGAAAAGAAACCCAGTAAAGCTTTTTTATTATACCACATTATATTCCGGAGTTAGCTTGCTGAGCCCAGAGATTCCACGTCTAAAGCAGACTGTGAGGGCAGGAAGGAAGTTAGAAGCATGTGCTGGGGTTCAGCAACCAAAGTGAAGGTTTATGAGTAATCTTGCTGAGTGTCTGTTGAAGGCCACTGCAGTTACAGAGTCCCAGAGCTAGCAAAACCAGGAGCCATGCTCCTGTCTTTCTAAGGAGCCTCTGACTGGGCCTCCTGACTTCTAGCAAAGCCACTTCTAGCTGAAGCTATGTCTGCAGCTGTTTCCAAGCATGCCCTGTCTTGTGTTGTTTAGAACTTTAAAGGAGCCACTGTTCATAGTTTGGGGTTTTTTTAAAAAGCAAAGTGTTCATTTTTCTGTGATTCATAGACGTATTAGATGCCCAATTTACTTGATCTTTTGAAGACCAAAGTTATTTAAAGTAGCTAAGATTTTCTGCTTCATATTTCCTGTAAATTGCTCTTGTTAGATGTGTGATGAAGATGGACCATCACTGTCCTTGGATCAACAACTGTTGTGGCTACAGAAATCATGCTTCATTCACGCTGTTTCTCCTGTTAGCCCCACTGGGCTGTATTCATGCTGCTTGTATTTTCACTATGACCATGTACACACAGCTGTACAATCGGGTGAGTGAAAATGTTTGTCATAAAAGTATCCATGCCAGATTAAATGGTAGTGGCCGACATTATTTATCAGGTCCGTTTCGGAAATACACATTCCGTGAATTCGGTGGGGAAAGAGAGTTTGTGTTTACTTCTATGTGGGTTCCTTCATTAAAACCATTGAAACTTCATTTTTAAGATGAAGAAAAATTGTTCTGGAATCTCATTTGGATAGAGCACAGTTCTACTCTGGCACACGTGGGATATGGCCACGAGTTAGCATCAGCTCTGCAGCCCTGCGTTTGGAATCGCACCTGGTACACCATAGTTGAAGTCAATAAATTATTTTAGTACTGTAAATATATATAGAAGGTGATGGCTCTGTAGGATTAACACTAGACTATGAACCACAAGGTTGGCAGTTCAAGCCCACCAGACACTCAGTTGGAGAAATGATGATGCTTTCTACTCCTGCAAAGATTTACAGCCTCAGAAGTCTATACAGGGTCGCTATGGGTCAGAACCGGCTCTATGGCACTTAACAGCAACATAGAGACATACACACACCACACATATGCTGTTTTTAGGTGTCTTCAGGTTGGTTTCTTGCCATTCAAACTGACCTTGA